GCAGTGTCACTGGCCCTCATATGTGGGATCCGAACCGGGGCCCTCTGGCATCCCAAGCGAGTTCTTAACCATCGCGCCACTCGGCCGGCCCTAGACCATGTGCTCTTAACGAGGCTGCTGGTTCAACTCCCGCATGGGATGCTGGCTACGCCCACCCGCAACTAATTGAACACAGCACCTTGAGCTAAGCGGTGTGACTGGACATGGAGCTGAGCTTGCTGCACCCTCCACAGCTAAGATTGAAGCACAACAACTTGGCTGTTTCCCTTCCCCAATTTTCCAACACTGTTCCCCTCCCCTAACTCCCCAATAAAATCTTTAAAAAAAAAAAAAAGCCAAGATGAGATCGCATGACAAACCCACCAGAATGACTGAAACTTTAAAGGCTGTTATGGACTGAATGTCTGTGTCCCCCCCCCCCAAAGCCATATGTTGAAATCCTACCTTCCAAAGGTGACGGTGTGAGGAGGGAGACATCAGGTCATGAAGGGGGCTCAGTGTCCTTACAAAGGAGACTCCAGAGAGCTCTCCGTCTCTCCCCCCATGAGGACACAGCGAGACGATGTCATCGGGGAACCTGAGGAGGGCCATCATCAGACACTGAATCAGCCGGCACCTTGATCTCACACTCCAGCCTCCAGACTGTGAGAAATCAGTGTGTGTTCGCTAAGCCCCCATCTTCACTAAGGCAGCCTGAAGGGACTGAGACAGACTGACCCCCCGTGTTGCTGCAGACATTTTGGTTATTCTTCATGTATGGACGCTAGGACCACTCTGGAAAACAGTTTGGCAGCTTCTTCTGAAGTGAGACTGACACCTACCCATAACGCAGCAATGTCACCCAGAGGTACTTACCTAGAGAAACGGAAGCAAACACCCATGAAAGGATGCGCTCATACACGGACCACTGTCCAGAACTGGGTTCCAGCATAGAGTGTGGCCAGGTTTTACTCTTCCCACCATTTCTGAGCCTGGTTTGTTTTTCCTTCTGCCCTGAGTAGGAGTCTGCTCACCTCAGTGGCCTGAGAGCATGGCGGTCACCCTCACCTTACAGTGGCATCTGTGCCCTGAGCTCACGGTCCTGGAGCCCCTCCCACCAGGCGTCAGCCTCTTCCCTCGCCCCCTGTGGCTTGTCCCCGAGGCAGCTCGGACCTTGCTTGACCTTGCCCTTCGGGGCAGGGAAGGGGCTGAGCCTGCACACCCCTCTTCTGTGTCTTTCATCAGCTGCTGGTTGTAACATTGATTGACTTTTTAAGTACATTTTATTTTTAGAACAGTTTCAGATTTGCAGAAATAGTGTGATGGTAGCGCAGTGTTACCAGCTGTCCCCATGCCGAGCGTCTTCCTTCAGAACCGTCCATTGTCAAGGGCATGAGCTGGCTTTCCTTTATTAACTGACGTCCGTTCTTCATTCAGATTTCCTCAGTTTTTACCTGATGTCCTCTTCCTGTTCGGGGCTCCCATCAAGGACCCACATGGCATTTAATTGTTGTGCGTCCTGAGGCACCTCTTGGCTGCGAGTTTCTCAGACATTCCTTGTTTTTGATGACCGTGACAGTTTTAAGGCGTGCTGGTCAGTTATTTTGCAGGATGTCCGAGTGGGGTTATTCTGATGTTTTTCTCATGGTTAGATGGGGTCATGGGTTTGGGGAAGAGCAGAGGTGGAGTGCCCTTCTCCACTTGACCCATCGCTGTTGTCAACCTTGACCTCCTGGAGGTGGTTTGTCAGTGTCTGCACCACGGTCCCCCTTCCACCCGTCCACACGGTGCTCTGCAAGGACGTTCCCGCACTTAGAGGGGGCGGCAGTGCCCTCCCGGTGGGTAGTGTCTAGGAAATTGTTTGGAATCTGCATGAGAGATGTCTCTTCTCCCAGTTTATTTATTCAAATCATTTATATCAGCGTGCACTCGTAGATATTCACTCTGTACTTAGCTCATAAACCATCACTACTTTGTTTTGCTGTCAGATTGTTTCCATCTTTGGCCAATGGGATCTCGGTCAACTGGCTGCTGGCCCTTTGACACACCCCACCCGTGTGGGTTTGTGTGTTCTTTAGCATTTCCTTGCTTCCAGGCTCATCTTGTAGATTTCCTGCCCCAGCCGTCAATGTCTCCTGGCTGGTGAATTTTGATTATCTTTATTTCTGTTCATTGTATGAGGAATTAACTGCAGGAGAGAGAATGTGTGAGGAGTGTCAATTGTCCATCTGAGCCTGGAAGTCCCCGCCAGGCCCAACGCCTGCTCCCTGGGCCCAGTCCTGGGCTGGTCCTGGTGGCTCTGTATGGACAGAACCTGACTTCTGGCTGACAGACCCTGGAATCTAGGACTGCTTGGAGAGAAGCAGCGTTTTGGTCCCTGGACGCCAAGCACAGGGTCTCACTGTGGGCAAGCCCTCGGTGCAGGTATGCAGAGATCCACACCAAAGGTTTGTTCTTAGAGCAAGTTACAGGTCAGTGCTTGGGCCGGCCTCAAAGGTCGGTTAAGAAATTAGCATCTGCCTTTCCAAGGAGCCATCTTTGCACAGGGCCCTTTGGAGAGAAGCGGGGAGATGGAGGGGCAGGCGCTGTGCCCCGGGATCTCCGCGGTCCACCAGGTCCCCAAGCCTGGGTCCTGCTCCTACAGCCGGGAGCTTCCGCCGGGCCCGCAGGTCCATCTCAGCCTCCAGGCGCCTCTCCAGCCAGGCCGGGTCCCCACCTCTCTCCTTCGCCCATTACACGGCATAAATCTCGAGGGATGCACTCGGGTGCAAGACACAGTTTTATTTTGTGGAAATCAACCAAAATGCAACTCCCTGCCTCAAGCTCTGGGGCTGAGAGAAATGCCCCTGGGCACCAACCATGGGGGCCTAAAGCCGGGTGCCCAGGCCAGAGTGGGCCCTGGGGGCCAACGGCAGAGGCCCCGCCAGGCCCACCCTTCGGGAGGCGCAGTGCGCACCGCGCAAGCCTCGGGGTGCCCGCCGAGCCCACCCACCTGGTTGGGGAGTGAAGCCCGGCGGGCTCGCCTTGGCCCCCGGAGCCCGCTCCCGCCCGCAGCCCCCTCCTCCGCTCCCGGTGCCCTGCTCCTAGGAGCCAACGTGGCCTCCCCGGAAGCTGTCCTCAGAGAAGCGCGGACCTCGGGGAGGACTTCTGGGGGACCCAGGACAAGCTGTGCGCGCGACGCTCTGCGCGCGACCCTCCGTGCGCCTCCAGCCCGGCATTGGCGCCTCCCGGGTTCCGATTGGCCAGGCACCCGCCACTGAGTCTCCGGGAGCCAATCGCGGTGGTCTATCTCGCAGACGCTGATTGGCTCAGGCCCCGCGGCCGCGGGACGCCCCACAGCGTCTGTGCGCCGGAGACGCCGGGTGGACCTGCGCGTTGGGTCCCGCCTCGCGGGACGGGCTCTGACGCCTCGTCTTTTACAGCCCCCACCTCGAGTGGCACTGGCCGCGGTCCTGCCCTGAGGCCCCATCCGTCCTCCGGGCCATGGGCCGAGCGTCGCGGCGGCCGCAGCCCGCCCCTCACCTGCGACGCGACCCTTCCTCGGGAACCTGCTGAGACACGAGTGGAGCGTTTCCAGTTCGTACAGGTGGCGCAGAGCCGGGGTTCACTGACCCCCGCTGGCTGCGACTGCGGACAGCAGGATGCTTCTAGCCGCGGATTAGCAGAACTAGACAAATGGGCCTTAATTGCCAGACCTTCACAGATTTGCCCTGATGACTGAGCAGCTTGTGATGTAAGCAGCTCCCCGAGTGCAGGTCGCCGGAGAAGGGAGGAGACAGCGCTTTCGAAACTGAGCCTTGCCTGGGGCTGGCAGCGCTCAGGGACCAGAGAGGTCATCAGTGGAGGGCGACTGGGGAGGTGGCCGGTACCAAAGCGTGCTCTGCTTTGTCAAAATACAGTTAAACGTCCAGAAAGAATAGAAACTCTGCCAAGAGGCAGTGTGGCCCGAAGCAAGGACCCGGGGCAAGGCCACGGTCAGCTGGCGTCATGGGCAGCACTCGGAAGTGCCCAGGGCAGCTCCTGCCTCAGGGCCTGGCACGCCTATTACTCTGCCTGAAACGTTCCCCCACCTGAGGCCCACAGGGCCCCCTCGTCCCTTCCTTGGGGTCGCTGCACAGGTCACCGCCTCAGGAAATGGCAGGCTCCCCGTCCTTCTGCTTGGTATCCTCCACGGAGGTCACCCCTGGGCTCATGTACTTGCTTATGTCCGCTGCCGCTGGAACGATCAGTCCCAGGAGGAAGGGCCCTCACCCCAGTGCCTAGAACGGGGCTGGGCACGCGGTGGGGCCCAGTGACCGCGAGCGAGCTGGAGCTTTCCCTGCAGCCCACGGACACGCGCACCTCAGGTCTGGCCAGAGTTGAAGGAAGGGTGCCAGGGCACCGGGCACATCCGGGTCACTGCTCAGGACGGAGCCGGGCGTGGCAGGGGTGGGGGCTGAATGGTGAGAGCTCTTCTACAGCAGCCCTGCTGGGGTGACCTGCAGAGCCCAGAGCCACAGTGTGGGTTGCGAAGGCTTCTGAGTGCGTGTTGGACCCAGGGAAGGAGAGTGTACAGCTGCTCCCGCAGCAGGTGGAAGGCCGCTGGGGACTCAGCTGTACTTGGGACTGGAAGCCACCCCCGCCCCAGGCAGCAGGTGGGGGCTGGGAGAACCCTCACCGTGTGCTCCTGGAGATCAGTTCCCTCCCGACACCACCCAGCGTCTGAGACCGAGGCACAGGGGCTATGGCTGGTTCCCCAGCAGCCTTCCGGGCACAGCTCGGTGGGGAGCGGTGTAGGGGGCAAGGGTGGGGACGTGTGGCCCTTCTACTCGCTGTGACTGAACAGGCTTTGCCAGATGCTGCGTCTGCATTCCCAGCCAGCAGAGAGAAAAGTCACAGTGATCCAGACTTGCTGCCTCCCTGTAGAAAGGCCCCCAGAAGCGGAGGTCGAACAAGGCCTTTCTGGGAACTTGAGTACCTGTGGCACTTTGGAATGGGCTTTGGGCACGGGAAGGACATGGGCGGGGGCCACATGTTCTCTAGGCCAAGCAGGTCCCAGAGCACCTGACCCGGCCTCAGGCCAAATGGGCAGGCGCCCCCTGCAGGGTGTGGGCCCCAGAGCCGCAGCAGGGCACAGGACAGAGTAGACACAGGCTCCTCTGGGCGGTGCAGGAATTTCCAGGGTGGGCCCAAAGTCGTGGCCGGCACAGTGGGACCTGGGACCCCAGGGACTGGCATGGCTGTGGAGAGGGGAAGGCCTGTGATGGACCCTGCAGGTGGGCGTGGGGGAAGGCCTGAGGGGCTGGGCTGCATTGTACATGGAGCCGCCTTAGGGAGAAAGGGTCAGAGCTGAGTGACTCTGGACCAGGGCGGCCGGGAGACCCTGCGGGTGCTTCCTATCTGGCAAGGATGGGGGTAAGTGAGGGTCGCGCAGCGGGGCTGGGACCCCTCTGCATCGGTGGGGTCCCACCCACCACCGCCTCCCCGGAAGTCAGGGCTCTGGAGAGGCCACACGGTGTGAAATCACTGTTTTATTGGCTGTGATTCCATCCGGAGAGAACACACGCGACGCCCCCGACATGCAGGAGGAGGCTCGGGCGCAAGGACAGACGGACATACGACATCCACGGTCTACGCTAAGCTCGGCTGCTCCGGGCGCCCCATGCGCTGGGAACGGGATGCGGGGTTTCTAGGAGACAACGGCCTGTCTGCTCAGGGCTGGCTTTTTAAAGTGTGAAAACAGGCATTTTAAAAAGACATGGAATCGGGAGGAGTCAGAGGGCGCAGGACCCGGGGCGCACCGAGGCGGCGCGGGGAGAGCGCGCGGGTCTTTGACCGACAGGCGTCGCAGTTAGTATTGCAGTCTAATTGTATGGCTTCTAAACAGCGATGGAGGGCCACGCCCCTGGCCCGCAACACGTGGACACAATGAATTTCTTTTGTGGACAGAAGAGCCCAGGGCGAGGCGACCGGCTTTCTGTCAAGATAAACTCCCCAAACACATTAGACCTCATTTACCTGAGATTCAACACATTGTGATGCAAATTAAACAAGGATGGAGGAAACGGAGGGCTGCGGGAGGCCCAGGTTGGTCGGCGCTTCTGTCTGATCCCTCTCGGCGTCGCGCAAGGACACCTCGCAGCCCCCAGCTCGGGGCCTGACCCAGCGAGGCCTCCGCCGTGCAGCGGAGGAGCGCAGGGACACACCCCTCCCGGCTCGCGGCACTCAGGTCCCGGGGCTCTGGGCCTCTCTAGCTCTTGTTCACGGGGTGGGGCGTTTGGTGAGGGCAGGGCCGTCCCCCGAAGCCTCGGTGCCAACCAGGGCGGGCCGGGCCCACACACACTCGAGGGGAGCGTGTGAAGGATTCTGTGTGTGCCACACTCGGGGCGGGGCAGCGGGGGTGTATGAGAATTTCCCCCCTAATCGTATTGCTTTGTTTCCCTTAGTTTAAGAAAGGGGCCACGGCATTCAAAAGAAGCAAACCCTTCCAGAGGGGTGGGCCAAGGCGGGGTAGGGAAGCACAGAGAGACGGGGGACAATGACTGTGACAGGTTCGGAGGGGGCGAGGTGGGCAGCCACGGACAGGAAGAGGCAGAGGACCAGCAACCAGGTGTCAGTACGAGGGGAGGGGGTTGGGGGCCAGGCTGATGCGGACGGGGAGCGGCTTCCCACCTTGCCCCGCGGGTGGGGCCCCAGGCACCAGCTGCTCGCCCCTTCCAGCACCCCCACTATGGCTGTGCTCCTGAGTTTGGGCCCGGAAAAGCGCTCACCAACGCTGGGACCGCGCACCCAGGGGTGGTCGAGGGGCTGGCCCTGTCGGTGGCCGGGGCCTCAGGCGCCTCTGGGCGGGCGGTGAAGGGCGGGGGCAGTAAGGGGCGGTCCAGGCTCTGGGGAGGGGCCAAGCCACTCGCGGCCCGAGGAGCACGGGGTCCGGCCGCGGGGCCCTGGGGGTCGGGCGCCCCTCCCACGGTGGCGGCGGCGACGCAGTGCGGGGAGGGGGCGAGCGGAGGCTCCCGAGGCGCGGGGGGGCGGGGGGCGTGTAGACTCAGGACTATGGCTTATATTGGCGCTGGGGGGCTGCACTCTGCTCCCGACATCCCTTCGGGGCCTCCGCGGAGGGCGGGGACGGGGCGTGGGCGAGGGGCGGCGGGGTGGGGGCTCCGGGCGTTACTTCTTGAACATGTCCTGCAGCGGCCCGGGCAGGTACTTGATGACCGTGTCCAGGATGCTCTCGTCCTCCTCCTCCGGCTCGTCTCCGCAGCCCGGCGGGATGGCCTTCTTGGGCCGCGTCAGGCTGCCCTCCGCGTTGGCCTCCATGGCGGCCTGGGCCTCGGCCTCGCGTTCCTCCTTCTTTTTGATGCCGTACTGCGGGGAGAGGGCGGGGTCAGGGCCCCCGGCCCGGCCCGCGAGGCGGGACGGGCTGAGGGAGGCGGGTGAGGGGAGACAGGCCCCCCCCAACGGCCACCGGGACCCCCCGAAAGTAGTCCCAACCTGAGAGCATGCCAGGAGGGGCGGAGAGACCCCCACGGAGACGGCGGGACCGAGCTGAGGAGAGGAGCAGGGAGCCAGAAGGTCGCATCCCCCTGGGGGACACGGAGGCGGCGGCCCCGCCCCCGGGGCAGCTGCACCGTCCTCATCCCGGCCTGCGCTGCGGTGCTGGAGCGCCCGGAGCAGCGGCAGTGGTGGCGACAACCCCCTGCTCTGTGGCTGGCTTACCCCACTCCGCCCAGATCCTTGGTCTGGTGACAGGAGGTCACACCTTCAAGCCAGGGCCAGGTCTCCCTGGATGCGGCCATGACCCCAGCCCCTGGCAGATGACTCTGCACACTCCGTGGGCAGCTAGTGTGTCTCTGCCTCCTGCCCTTACCCAGTTCTATTTGTAGTGGGTTGAATGGCGTCCTCCCAAAACCCACGTCACCTGGAACCTCAGAATGTGACCTCATTTGTAAACAAGGCCCTTGCAGGTGTAATGAAGGTAAGGATAGAAATGAGATCACCCTGGGCCCTAAACCCAATGAGAGGTTCCTGGTAAGAAAATGAAAAGGGCATAAGCCAAGGACACCAAGATTGCTGGAAGCTACCAGGAACTAGAAAGACGGGGGCAGGGTTCTTGCCTAGGTCTCGGAGGGAGCACAGCCGGCTATCTTCATTTTGGCCTTCAGGCCTCCAGAAACCAGGAGTTTCTAGAATACCTCTCCCCTCCCCCCCAAAAGAGCACAGATGTAGGTGAGCGTGCAGTCACCAAGGCCATGAGGCCACAGAATGACCTCCTGCCTTAGGGCCGGTGGGGGACAAGCTGCCAAGCTCAGGACCCACCCAGGATGGGGGAGGGGCACCCCTTGGCTAGGTCTGGGGTCCCCGTTGCATGTTAGGAAGCTGCACTGGTAACGCAGGTAAGGGGACACAGAGTACGTGTGGGTGTCACCAACTTGCTACCAGGCTGCAGAACCCCGCTGAGGGGTACACAAGTGAAGAGTATTGGCCCTGGCCTTGGTGGTGGAGGGCGCTGCCCCTGTAGAGGACCCCCATGGTCCACTCATCCCTCCTTGCCGGCCCCTCCCTAAAAAGTGTGGTTCTGCTTCAGGGAAGGGGGGGCCTGGCTCTCCCCAAAGGCCCTTCCTTCTGCTTCCAGATGGGGGGGCTGACTGCCTTCTCCCCACCCCCCCAACCTGCAGCTGGCTCCTCCCCGAGGCTGTGGGTGACTTCAGGCATGCGGGAGGCAAGGGCCACCCCCAGCCCAAGTCCACGAAGAGGAAGCCAGGCTCTCGGCCCACCCATGACCACAGCACAGCCCGGGGCCCCCTGGGCACCTTCAGGCCACTGAAGAGAGAGGATGAGGGTTGTCGCTGCTTCTCCATCAGGGACCCTGAGCGGCACGAAGCCCCCTTTGCACCCTGAACCAGGAGTGGTGGGAGGGTCTGAGGGGCAGTGAGGGCGCCCTGGGAATGAACTGAGCAGCAGGCACATTGCCCAGAGGGCCCTCCCTACTGAGCGCTGACGTCAGGTCATCAGAGGGCAGGCAGAGTGCAATAAAGGGACCAGATGCCAGGCACCCCCTGGGACAGCTGCAAGGAGCACGGGGCCCTTTTCCCGGGTCACCGCTCTGGGACAACCTCACCTCGGGGAACAGCGTCCCCAGGGCACAGAAGGGAGGGAAGGATGTGAGGCTCGCAGTCCTGTGAGGCAGAGCGTGGGCTGGGGAGAGAGGCTGCCAGAAACTAGGTCAGCCCAGGGAGAGCTTCCCTCCAGCCAGGGCAGGGAGCCTGCCGGCCACCGCCTCGCGCAGGACGGCCGTGCACACTGCAGGAACGTGCCTGTGTCGGGGTGCAGGTCTGTGGGCTGGATCCAGGAGCTGGGCTGCCCTCAGCCTGCACTCACCGCAGAGTTGCACGTGCTCAGGGGAGCACAACAGCGGCAGTGGGGACGCGTGTGGGGCGCGGGAACGTGGGGTGTCCTGTTGAGCAGAGGGACTCCTTGACCAGGGAATCGAGTTCTGGGCTTGTGGAGAGAGCCTATCTGCAAGCAGTGTCGGGGTCCTCCCCTCTGGGGTCCAGGAAAAGACCTCATACCCCGGCCCATTTGCTCCACTGAGGCTCTGAGGCTAAGGTCACTCTGGGCTCGGCCTGAGGGTAGCGGTTACTCTGGGGGGATGGAGGCTCCTGACCTGGGGTCCACCCCGGAGCCTGGCTCCGCTGTGTCTGGCTGACAGCCGCTTTGAGGCTTCCAAGCTCCAGACACAAATGCCCAGCCACATCCGGTCTAGGGGATCATCGACAGCTGTTCACCAGAGACCCTGACCAGAGGCGCCCAGCCATCTCGTCGATCACCGAGAGGACGGGAGCCCGACCCACACCTTGTGGCTGGGAGGAAGCCCAGTGGCGCTCGCCAAGGCAGCGGTGAGAATCCGTAACACGACCTAACAACTACTCGGCAATCACGCCCACACCTTCGGCACCAACCTCAGACCCAGACTTGAGTGACTTCAGGGACCGTGGGGGCTGGGACCCGCCTGCTCGGTGCAGGGAGGATGGCGGTTCTGGCTCAAAGTTGCTGAACTTGAACCCCGGAAGCACCGAACCTCACTCAAGCACATCTGAGGGTGCGCATGCAAATCAGGGAGCACGTATGCAAATGAGGCGTGGTGGGTCACTCTCTCCTGCCACTTGGACCCACGTAGGGGATGGGGAGAGGAGGCGCTGCCCACGACAAGGCGACAGCTCGATGCGAGAAGTCTCCCATGCCGGCTTCCGCTTCCTCGTCTGAGGTCGCCTAGGGAGCTGGACACCCCCGAGGACGCGTGATCCCGGCCGGCCCTTCGGTCCCCATCTCTTGGGGCCCTAGACCGGGCAGCCCAGCACCCCCTTCTCTGACCAGCCCCCATGAGGCGTGGGGCAGGGGTACACGGCACAGGGGATAGGGAGGAGGGCTGGAGGACACTGGGTCTGGCACCCGGAGGCCAGTGAGGGCCATTTGGAGGAGCCACACCTCAAGGGCAGGGTTCCCCCCTGCGGGGCGCAGGAGGGCAGCGGATGGAACACTTGGGTATGCCCAGGTGGAGAAGGGCTCTGCGGAGAGTGGCGCAGACTTGGGCGATGGGCGCACCTCACGGCAGGACTCTGCGGTGCTGGGAACGCAGCAGGGACACGTCAGGCGGGAGGTGCCAGGCGCTAAGCTCCCTGTATTAGCCTCCAGGAGGCGTCCTGACCTCACTCGTCAAGGGGGCAGGTCTGGCCCTGCACCCCACACCCGTCGGGGTGCAACCTCTCCTCCCACTACCCGTGCTTCCACTTCGGGGGATGGGCTAGGGTAAGGGGGCTGCTGGGGACCTCTCTGCTGAGCTGAAGGCTCTCCCCAGGTGGACCAAATTCTGGAGGTTGAGTGGTGAGGTGGGGGAGACGTGAGGCTCCAACATCCAGAGCATGTCAGACCCCCTCTTGGGCTGCCTGACTCAGCAGTAGGGGGGCTCTGTTTTTCTGTCTGTCTCTGTCTCTGTCTCTCTCGGCCCTCTGACCATACTCCCGCCCTGTCCCCTTCTCCCTGCCGGCCCACGGGCATTCCCAGTCACAGCCTATTTGGTTGACAGGGCGCATTTCTTGGCTGTCCCCCAAACAGCTCACAGAGCCCTCAGTAGGAGACTCCTGGCTGCAGAAGGACAGGGACGGGGTGAGGTTGCTAAGGGGCTGCTGTCATAACAGAACCAACTGAGCTTTCTTGCAGGTCCCCAGGCAAGGCGTCCAGTGACCCATACCCCATCTATGTGGGGTGCTTGCGGGCTGAGAGACCGGCAGGCACCCCACCTGTGCTGCACCACTTGCCAGGCCCAGCTTCTGCCTGGGGCTGGCTGGAACTGGCCCTTCTCGGGGTACACTGAGGCAGAACCCACAGGCTTCTCTCCCTGCGGCCCCCACACCTCGCTGGTCCAGGGACAGGCACCATGGAGATCCCCTCAGGAAGTCTCACTGTGTCAGGTTGGGGGCAGGAAGGAACCCAGCGAGGCAGCACCCCCCAAACTGGATCTCCCACCAGGGAATCTAGACCCAGTGCCTCATGAGTGCCTTCCACAGAGGGGGCAGCCTGGCGAGGGGCCAGAGGTGGTGGACGAGCACCTCAGATGGCACGGCCTCCTGGACCTTGGGAGGCCTCGTCGCTCTGGGGCACGTGGGCCTATGCCACTCCTCGTGCCACCTGAGCCCCCACAGGAGGGCCCATCTCCTGGAGCCCAGCCTGGCCCACCCGGGATGAGCGGGAGCACCAGCCCCACTGCCTGCCCTTGACTCACCCACCCTCCAACCTGGCTGCTGGATAGACGACAGGACAGGTGTGGAGTCGCCCCGGGGGCACTGACCGACCACCTGTGGCCCATCCCTGCACTGGACATGCGGGCACTGCCACGCTGGGTCTCAGCTTTCCCAGGTGACAATTGACAGTGCTCTCAATGCCCACTCACGGGGGACGGACACCCAGATGGTTCAGGAAAAGGCTGTGGCTGCCAGCTCACAGCCCACCCCCCAGCCAGACCTCACAGGTGGAAGGCCTGCTGCCACCACACCCTGTTGTGAGCTTCAGAATGTGGGGGGAGGGGGTGTCAGGTGCTTCCCTACACCCCCGGCCAACGGGCCCACCCCATCCCAGAGGGCCTCTCCCGGGAGTACTGGCGGTGAATCCCCAGAGACAGCCGGGCTGGGGGGCTGTCCCACACAAAACGCTACCGACTCAGGAGCCTGGGTGGCCCCCCTCCACAGGGGCAGGGCCAGCCTACACCGAGGGCACCCTAATCCCCGGGGAGCCTCTGACAGATGCAGACGAGCGGCCCCACTTGTCCTGCTCCCCCCACAGCTCCTGAGTGGACAATCGTCCAAAGGGGCGGGGCGAAGGGGGCTCCACTCGGCCCTTCCCGGGCAGGCCCCCAGTCCAGGGCCAGTCGGGGACTCCCAGCCCCAGTGGCGAGGTCCCTGGGTGGGGGCTCCCCGCCGTCGCGCCGGTCCCCACCTTGTCGCGGATGCCCTGCCGCATGGCCTCGCGCTCCGCCTCCATCTTGGCGTACTTGGCCTTGCGCTCCTCCTCCTCCTGTCGCAGCGCCTCCTGGCGCTCCTCCTCCTTCTTGGCCGCGTCAGGGTCCTTCTCCTCGTCGCCCCCCAGCATCTTCCCCATGTCCTTGGTGGCCCCTGGGGACAGAAGAGCGAGGGGGTGAGGGCAGCCGCGGTTGTGTGACGGCCCGACCGGCACTACCGTCGGTTCTGGCATTTTCCGTCCACAGCGGGAAGCGCGGCCTTGGCGCGCGTCGGGGTGGAGGGTGGGCGGCCGCTTGTAAAGGGAGCCCGTCGTGCAATCCTGCGCGCGCTCCAGGAGGGGCCGCTGTGTGGGGCTTCACTGGGTCGTGTCCCGCAGAGGCTCAGCCTCCGGGAGGGGGGGGGGGCGAACGCGCGGACCTTTGGACGGAGGAGCCCCGGGGAGGCGTCCGGAGGCCCCCCCCACGGCCTGCAGCCTCTGCGGCTGCGTGTTGCAGCACCAAGGCCCTAATTTCTCTGCTGCGCCAGTCACCACTTTTCTCATGAGCTCCTGATTCACAGGAAACAACAAACACCTCCCCAGACGCCCCTGTGACTCGGCCCACAGGACAGAGCCTTGTAATTACAGCCGTGGAGCGTTGCAGGCGCGCAACGAGGCCTGGCCCTTCGGCGGCTCCGTGGAGCACAGCCGCCCGCAGGGAGGCGCGCAGGCACGTGGGGCAGCAGAGAGGCCAGCACTGCCGGCCAGCCCATCCCAGCCCGGAGCAGCCAGCCCACAGGGGCACCCCGCGCACACGGAGGCCGGCCCCACTGGCCAGCATGCTCCCTTGGGGCCAGCTGTGTTCAGAGGGGACCCCTCCCATCGCTGCTCCCGGTGTCCGCCATCCTCTGCGCGGGGACCAGGGGCTGCGTCCCCGCTCCTGTCTGGGAAGGTCTTGCCCCTTCCTCTGGTCCCTTCAGGGTCCCTCACCAGCACTGCCCCAGGCTAGCTGAGCTCATGTCGGGAATGACCCAGAGGTGCACACGCACAAGAATTCTGCAGCCGTCTGTAGCTAGGAGCTACCACCACCGCCCGTCTCCACAGGTGCCCATGCTGCCCTGGCTTTGAGGCCCCGCTCTCAGCCCCCTTCCCTCTGCATTCAGCAGCTACGTGTTCAGGTCCTTGGCGCTCTTGGTACTCTTGTGCTACTCTGATGATGCACAGGTCTGTGCAATACTGAACCTGGAGCGGACCCCTTTCCTGCAGCAGTGACACCCCCAGTGTGGGCAGAGGGAACAGCTTGGGAGGCCACCAGATATTGGTAGGAGGAGAACTCTGTGGTTGAGCCCTGGGCTGAAAGCTATTGTAGATGCCCATCAGGCAAGGCCATGCCTATACCACCGGGCTTTCTGGCTGCTGGGGACTACTGCAGGATCATGGGGGTGGGGAGGGCCAGGTCAGTTTGCCACTGTTGTCGCCGTGAGCACAGGACGTCTGCCTGTACCAGGTACCAATGGCACAGATCCAGACAGACAGATAGCCTCAGGGTCAGTTTGCAACTTCTGCAAAATTTTGTAAATCAGATTTTGGGCCAATGACTGAAGGAAAACTGGGTCATATTGTCACTTACCTGCTCTTCTTACAGTTCTCCCAGATAACTAGGCCAGAACCTGTCTGCCGCTGTCGCTGTCGTCTCTGACAGGTGTGTGGGAGGCAGGAACAAACCCCCACAATCCTGGCAGCAGCTGCAGCCTTCCCAACCTTCCCAGCCTGCTGGCCGCCCACAGCACTCTGTACGCTTCTCACCACTAGAACAAGCCTGTTCACACTAAAGTGCGAGTGACCAATAGCTCTCCCTCAAAGGTGGAGGTGGGTGAGCCATCTCATCAGCATCTCTCCTCACAAGGAAAGGCGTGTGGGGGCTGGGGTGGGCTGGGCCTCTCAATCTGCCCCTCTAAGGCATTACATGGGCCATTGTTCTTATAATCAAAACAGGCATTTATTGAGCACCGACTGTGTGCTGAGCTCTGCTCCAGCAGGTGCCAGGCTTGGGGCTTACCTGGGGCCATTTTAGCTCTGAGTGTCAGGGTCCCCAACCCCCAGTTGACCTCTGGGGTGGTTCACTTGGCCAGAGGGATCAGGGGTGGGCAAGGAAGGAGCTAGCGGGCAAGAGGCAGCTCTGGGGGGCTGGGTGACCTCTCCTAGTCCGGGGTGTGGGGCATGGATTCACACTTGGGCAGTCCACTGCTGTCCAAGTGGACCACGCTCTTGGGGTGTCCACAGCATGACCTTGGAGAGCGCCCCAGAGCCCCCCTGGCTGGGGATTAGTAGGGGTTACCCTGCAGCAAACACTGCAGGGAGCTTGTCACCAGCACAGAAACCCAACATGCGATTTCCTGGCATGGACACGGGTCGGGGGCTGGTGTGGCCAGGTGGGGCTAAGCGGCAGTGCCTGGGGGTCTCCATTCCATGCCTCTGCCTTTTGCCCCCGACCCACTGTGCACGAGGACAAGCCTACATCCTCGCTAGAGAGAGGGACTGCCCATCACCTACTTACAGGTGAGGAAACTGAGGCACTGAGCAATTCCACTGGTGTCCAAGTCTCCAACTGCAGGAGGCAGCTGGAATCGACTGGGGTCCCATAGCCGGGGTTCAGCATTGACCTTGTCACGCAGGTGCGGAGCTGGGGTGTCCTGGGAGCCAACCCCACCTCTTCCCTCATTCTTCTTAGAGGCTCAGCTTCCCCGGTGACAAGTGGGGACCGGAGCGCTCTGGAGGGTGCTTGGGGGGTGGACGGGGCTGGCACTTCCTACCCCTCCCCTGCACAGTCAGATAAACCTCTGGGGGCAGAGGGTTCCATACTGGGGGAGGGGGTTGTTATGGGAACTCCCCCAACAGCTGGACAGCGCCACTCACCAATGTTCTCGGAGCGCCTGCAGGGGAAGAGACGGGGTCTGCCTGGCCTTCATCTCCCCCCCCCCCCCCGCCAGGTCCTCTGCCCTCACTATCCCTGTTAGTGTCACTCTGCAGGCCTGGGGAGGGGCGGGGAGGGCTGCGCTGTTCCCACCCACAACTTTGTCCCACTTCCTCCCAACCAAGTGTCCCTCCAGGCAGGTTCTCCCGGGAAACACACGTGCACAGGTTACCTGAATGGTCAAAACACTGAGCCCGTGTTCACTACATTTTCTGTAATTGATATGATGTACATTTAGGCAGTACGTACATTTAAGTTGATTTTTACAACTTCATTGTGAAATAATTTTAGATCTCAGACGTCACACAGGTTGTGGGAAGGGCTCCTGGACACTTGCCCAACTTCCCCGAGCGTCCACCCCAGGCCATCTGTCAAAGCTAATGTCATGGATGCTGGAACCACGCTATCAACAACTACAGCCTTGAAATAAAAGTATGAGAAAAATTACATGATTTAATGAAAAACTAAAAAATACCTAAAGACACTTGTCACGTTCATGATGGGGAGACTCCATAACATAAAGATGTCCCTTCTCCCCAAACTGAGTTATGAATAAGTGTAATCGCAACCAAACTCCTGCATTCAAAAGGAAATTATGAGAAATTTGACAAAATAAGAGAGTTGCACATATGGGAAGGCAAAGGGCTCTGTCAGCCAGGATACATACAGGAAGGAAGCAGCAGGAGGGTACGCGGTGTGGCCAGTGTGGCCTTGGTGTGGCTTGGGGGGAGACAGACAAAGGGGTGCGAGCAGGGAGCCAACTACAGCTCCACAGACACAGGGCTCAGACAGGACCAGGGACACTGTGGGGCCCTAAACCCTGGAGAAAGAACCAGGTTTCTCTACGTGGGGCTGAGGGAGCCAAGCTCCTTGTGGGGAGCATGAAAAAGGACTCCTACGTAACACCACAAATTCTTATTACAGATCTGAAAATGAGCCCCAAATAAAAGTGAGCAAAGAAAAAACAGCCCTCGCCGCCCTCTACCCCATCATCCAGCTCTAGTTTCCTTCCCATCGTCTGAAACGGTGCTGTGCAGGCTTGTCGGTCTCTGCCAACAGAAAGTCAGCTCGTGAGGATGGACTCTGACCGGCCGGTGGCTGCAGTCCCGGCACCCAGGTGGCGCCTGGAACGTAGTGCTCAACAAATATTTGTCAAATGGTGAATTTAAAACGTTTAAGAGATAAGCGTCATGCACTCAGCCACAAATAAAACCATCACAAACCCTACAACAAACATCACACAGTCCATGCTGAGATGCCGCACCCTTTTCTCTTAGCTCAGCAACGAAGGGTGCTCCCTGTCACCACAAGGGAGGTCCCGTCCACAGAGGACCTCGCCACTACACTATGGCAAGAACAGAAATACAGGGCATGACGACTGACAAGAAAGAAGTAAAACCGTCCTTATGAACAAACGACATGATCATCTGTGCAGAAAAACTGAAGGCATTTACAAAACCACTACTAGAACCTCTAGTAAGGTCACAAAGTACAAAATAACCATGAACAAATGGATGTTTATCTACCAGCAGAAAACAACAGCAGAAAAGGAACATGAAATTGAAAAACAATTCCATTAACAATACTGACAAAAACATAAAATATCTGTATTTTGAATAGATGTGCAAGCCTGCTTCACCTAAAATTACAGAGTTTTTGAGAGAACTGAAAGAAGGTCTGAATGAACCTTCAGACATGAGACCATCCGTGTTCATGGAGTCAGTGCTGCCGTGAGGTCAGTGTCCTCTGGGGGACCACCACCAACCAACATGCAAATAGGCTTTTTTGAACAAACTCACCAGCTGATCCTAGGACTTATATGATGTGGCAAAAGACTGAGAGCAGATGAAATAGTTTTGCTGGAGAACAACTGTGGAAGGCTCGCATCACCTGATTTCATGACTGACTGTAATCAAGACAGTGTGGTATTGACAAAGAATGGACATATGGATCAATAGATAGGAACAGAGTCCAGAAAGAGACCCACCCACACATGGTCAGTTGATTGTTTTTACAAAGCTGCAAAGATAATCCAATGAAGAAAGGGCAGTCATTTCACAAGTGGTACTGAAACAATCAGACTTCCCTTATCTTGCACCTTACACAAAGCTCATTCATAGACCTAACTACTACAAAAGCTAAAATTATGAAACTTCTGCAAGAAAGCATACAAGAAGAATCTCTGGGGCCGGCCAAATGGCATGTTGGTTAAGAGCTGGCTTGGGATGCCAGCTCTGAGCAGCAGGGCCCTGGTTCGGATCCCACATGAGGGCCAGTGACACTGCCCTCTACAGTTAAGATGGTGAACAACAGCTCAACCTGGAGCTGGGATGCTGTGAGTTGACAGCGACGGTGTAGGCTGAAGCCCCTGCGGCTGTGGGCTGCCGTAAGCTACCGTGTGTGGCCAGCAGCTGGTGTGAGCTGCCAAGAGCC